CCAAAACTTATAAACCTATCAATTAACAAACCGAAACCAAAACCTACACGGAAGCGAGTTAACACGATTTAATCAGAACTGGAAATAATGATATTGGAAGGAACAGATTCCGCACCGTGATGCGCGTAGACCCACGCGGCCCTCCACGAGTAGATGTGATCCCCCGCCTTCAGGCTCTCCTTCCCGATCCTAACCAAACCAAACCGCACAAAAAAAAAAAAGGAACCAATCAATTCACCGATGCAGAGCAAATTAAAAGTCATTGTAGCAGCGCAGGGTATGAAATCGAAAGAATGGGGCGATTCGGAGCTATACCTGTTGGACAGGAGACCCATGGAGACGGACGGAGGCGGCGGATCGGACGGCGAGCAGGCGGCGGGCGGAGAGGAGGGCGAGGAAGAAGGAGAGGGGCGGAAGCGAGAAGGCGCCTTGCGCTTTGGAGTAAAGCACGAAAAAGTGGGAGGGGATCGTGGGGAATGGGCCGTAGGATTCACGAGACGCTGATCTCGTTTGACGCACACGCGTAACCGGCGCCTTTATCCTACGGTGGAATATTTCGTTTGCCACCCCTGGCTTTCGCAGTAATTAGTTGTCGCATCCTTTCAGGACTATTTGTGAGACTTTGTTTTCAATATCATCTTTGAGTTGTTGAGTAGTAAAAGGGCAACCTGGTGCATGTAGCTCCCGCTTGCGCAGGGTCCAGGGAAGGGTCCGACCACTTTGATCTCTTTTCACAACATATTAATTTAATTTGGCCACTAGTATGCATTTTTGCAAGACTAACTGGTTTTCAAAACTGTGGTACGTACGAGATAACTTTGATCTAGATTTGTCATGAAAAGCACTTTAAACTTCAGTTAACAATATTGCTATGCTACAAAGACATTGCCGTCATATTTTCGAACAGAGTCCAAACCACAACAGTTAACAGCTACTCTGCCTCAACCTCAGCCTTAACGCCGAAGGTTACCGAGGCCGCGTCAAGGGTAAAACGATGATAAGCCGAGCTGTTTTCAGTGGTCGGCCGCACGAGCGCTGTCGGCAGGAGCAGCGTCTGAAGCGCGTCTGCTCTCGCTAGCTGAAGCGGAGTGGAGTGATAAAGGATTGGTCTTCAGCCTATCCACGCAGAGCCCCTCGGTACGCGTGGCATCGTCCTGGCGGGGCGGCTACCCAAGCCGAGTGAGCGAGCGAGCTGCACCTGCACGCGTTGCCGGAGCACAACCAAAGGTCGACGTCGGCTAGTCCAAAACCACCAGGTCAAATAAGAAGCAGCAAATCAAATAGGCAAATGTTAACAGTAATCATTCCAGCAAAAGATGCCGGCGCACTGACAGCCACACAAGTTTATACTGTACAAACAAACGAACGGTTGACCGCAAAATGGGTCGGCTAGAGGGATGTCTAGTCTATCTACCACTGACAAAATACAAAAGGGACCGCGCAAGAAACAATTGTGGAGCGTGATTGAGAACAGTAAAATTGAATAAAATAGTAAAAGAAAATCTGAGTCATCCAAGATGCTTGAATGCGCGTGCAAAAATTCATGGCGTAATGACGAAATCTGGCCGTGAAAGAAACTTTGAAATAGAACACTATTTGAACCTGTTTTTTCTTTCTTTTTTCTAGAGCTCTTCGAATGTCCAAACACCAAGAAAATTTGCACGCTCCTTGCACTCCTGACCATTTCAATGCCAAAAAATATATTATAATTTGAATTTTGTTACTATTTTTCGCAATTTACTGTTCATCGAGACATGCATGATTGATGTTGAGTCAATCCGGCGCAAGAAACAATTGTGGAGCGTATGATAGCTGTAGAAACGGTAGAGATGACGTACAAAACGAATATGAAGGTATAATACGATGCGATGTAGGGGCGGCTGGATGCGGTGAGACGTCGTCGCTTCCTTCCGTCCATGAAGGGATCGATTCTTTGCAGCATTTCTAGGTAGCACCACCCTGCTTTTGCAACAGATATATGCTCTCTTCAATTCAATGGACGGCATGCAACGAAAAATAGATTCTCAATTCAACGGGTAACAGCTAACATCCCTTACTAGACGATCAAGACTTTGCCACTAGTTGGCGTAAAGATGTCTGCGGACTTCTTCTACTGCGACCTGCGATCAAACTGCTCAAGCAAAAGGTCTGATTTCATCCTCTCCCTCTTAAAAGAAAAAGAAAAAGTCTGAATATTCATCTGAACCATAAGCAACAAATACCATTACAAATCAAATCACGCAGCAAACCTATACGGGAATCAGGGGTTGAGGGAAGGTGCATCCATTTTCAAGTTGCTCCAATAAACAGACCCTTTGCGGTCAGCAGAAGGCTATAAATGTAGAGCATGACACGATTCAGAATTGAGAATCGCTGCCGCTGTGTTGAAGAGACGTACGCGTTTCTAAATGTCCTTCAAGAAGGGAATGGATTCTTTCCAGCATTTCTTCATGACGTCGACAACTTTCATGGTGTATTTCTCATCCTCTGGATAATATGCGATTGGGTCATCCAGCAACGGGGCTTCAAGATTCAGAACACCTTCTAGTGTCGCATGCAGACAGTATGCTGAGTAACTGATGTGGTAACCCCCTTCCTGGACAATCAATATTTGCCCATCGCTATGCTGATTAGCCAGGCTCCTCATTATTTGTCCAACTTTCCTATAGCCATCCATGGTCAAGCACTGTCTTCCATTTGGGTCAAACTGCATGGAGAAAATTCACAATTAGTTCGTCTAACGGAGTCATCTAGTTTAAGACAGAATATTATCCTGCATGCAACATCACCTCAATCTTCAAGGTACAATTGCTACCCTTTGATTTAATTTATATACATTCCACACATGACATGCTAAATACTACTCCCTCCGATCCAAAATAAGTGTCGTGGTTTTAGTTCAAATTTGAACTAAAACCACGACACTTATTTTGGATAGGAGGGAGTAATATTTTGCGTTTAGTATATAACTTCCGTTCCACAGTATAGATTATCCAACATGAATGATAAGAAATCTAGATAGTAAACATACATTTAGCGCAAGTATATTTATTATCTTCCTTGGTATGAAGTTTATATATTCCCACAGTCCCACACTGTTATACAAGATGGTAGGTAGCGGAACTGAGCCTTGCTCAGTTGGTGGGAGGCGTGGCTGCTACCGATGTTCGAATTCTCCACTTGAATTTGGGTGCCTATTTCTTATCTAAACAAAAAGTCACTTAGTTCCTATAGGAAATCTAGTTATTTTCACAACATGGTATGGGATACAGTGCATAGCGGACGGCTAAAGCGTGCGGAGAATGTCAAGAGAGGGCGGGGTAGACTGAATTTGACATGGGAGGAGTCCATTAAGAGAGACCTGAAGGATTGGAGTATCACCAAAGAGCTAGCTATGGACAGGGGTGCGTGGAAGCTTGCTATCCATGTGCCAGAGCCATGAGTTGGTTGCGAGATCTTATGGGTTTCACCTCTAGCCTAGCCCAACTTGTTTGGGACTAAAGGCTTTGTTGTTGTTGTTGTTGTTGTTGTTGGTATGGGATACATTGATACCTATATTTTTTAACTTCACAATATATTACAATTGCTAAAATGCGACTGCATCTTCTCGAGAAAAAAAGAATATGAAACTGGACATGATTTAGCAGTATTGACAAGTAGAGCATGTAGTGAACTAAGGAGAACAAATAAGCATACTCAGCTCACCATGCTAGAATCTTGGCCAATGACAAAAACCAAAAGCTGAGGTTTAAACTTGTCAATCGCCGGGACAACTAATTCATTCATTGCATACTCGTAGCCTTTATCCCCACTGCCATTAGGCAAAGGTATATTGAGATTGTACCCAAGCCCCTTGCCTTCCCCAATCTCATCAGACGAGCCACTCTGCAGATGCGAAGGACCCCAAGTACCATGCTTCATGTGAAGAGAGATTGTCAATACATTGTCCGTGCGATAGAAGCCCTCTGCAGTACCATTTCCATAGTGCACGTCTATGTCAACAACGGCAACCTTTGCGCGGCCAGAATCCAAAGCCAGGTGCACCGCAAGTCCGGCATTGTTCAGAAAGCAGTAACCGTCAGCATGGTCCGGTTGCGCGTGATGGCCAGGGGGGCGGACCAATGCGTAGGCTATCTTCCCATGCCCATCTAGTATGTGCCTCATAGCTGATAAGGTTGTTCCGGCAGCCAGAAGCGCAGCACCCCATGAACCAGGGTTCAAGAAAGTGCCCTCACATAACTTCTTGGGTCCACTGGCATTTGCCTGCACGAGCTCCTCAATGTATTCTGAATATCACAACAAGATTAAGGGTCCGTTAGGAACACAAGATTAAGGTTCAAGAAAGTGCCCTCACATAATTGTACAGGAACTGAATTATTTCCCGAATGAACATGAACATGGTTTCTGAATCCAAACGAGTAATTACAAGTTACAAAACAGTTCGTTTTGTCAACTCAAACGACATATAGATGTAGCACACTACAAGGATTAAAATAAGGTATAGTAAAGAATGATTGGAGGTCGATGGGAGGTTTAGCACTCTAGGTTAGTTGACTTTGCGAGCAGATTTGGGGGCAGACCTGGGGAGTGGAAGGAGATGAGCTCGCTGGCGTGGGCGGGGGTGCCGGAGTGCCAAGAGAGGAAGGGCGCGATGGGCCCGCGGCGGAGGATGGAGACCATGTTGCGGACGCGGTCGGCGTTCTCCGGGTGGTGGTCGAGCACGTCGAGGAAGCCCGGGTCGCGGCCCGAGTCGAACACGCCGCGGCCGGCGTCGTGGGCCAGCATGCCCTCGTGCCAGAACACAGCCAGATTCTCCCCCGCCGGAGGCGCCCCCTCCGCAGCCGCAGCCGCGGGGACGGAGGACGAAGAGGGGTCCATCGGGGAACGGCGACCGCCGGAGTTATCGGCGGTAGTTCGTGATGCTTCAGCGTCAGTTGACCGAGGCTCGAGTTTGACTCCCACAGAGAGAGGTCCTTTTTTTTTAGGCAGCAGCGAGAAAGAGACCTGGCCTGCACGGCACGGCCTACGGCCTACCCCCAATTACATGGGCCGTCCCGGCCCGGCAATCGTGCCGCGCTCCGGGTCGGCCCACCGGCACGTTTAGCCACCAGCCCGTCTGATTTGGGCTGTTTTGGGCCTATTTGGACTGCTTTGGGGGCCAATATATAAAAAATTCTGAAAAAAGGTAAACAGTTCGTGTCGTGCCGACACTCATGCCCAGCCTCGTGGTCCAGGCACGACCCCGGGTGGGCTGCGTGCTAGCACGGTCCGATTAGATACGTGCCAAGCAGGTGTCTTAAATCTGACGAATCACGGGTAGGGGGTCCTGGGCTGGTGATCTTGGTTAGATGGTAATAAGACGAACTAAAGACACGATGTTTATCCAGGTTTAGGCCCCTCGAAGAGGTAAAACCTTACGTACTGCTTCAGTTACAAAGTACAGGATGACCTACCTCGAGATCGTATGTGTATGAATCTAACTTAACTTGACCCTACGGACTAAAACCCCTCGGCTTAATAGGGACTGGGGTACCTAAGGTTACATGTAGGTCGGTTAAATCTAGGGATAAACTTGCTTATGGTTTGATCATGTCTTGAAGTGTGTGACAAGTCTTCGAATGATTCCATCTTGAGTACGCCGGGGGTCATGGTAAACATGCACATTCTTTGGTTATCAGGGGGTCCTCGACCCGGCCCATGAATGGCAGGCCGACGTGGATAGCACCCCCTAGTCTAGGACACCGTCAGTACCTCATGAATTGGTCTTCAACCCGAGGTCATTGATTGACTCCTCGGAATGGCTTCAATTTTGATCTTCGCCTGCGTAGATGGGTTCAAAAAACTTGATGCTTCTACGATGATTCCTGTCTGATGACACCTCTGGATATGAAGTCTTCACATTATTTTTCCAATGTCTTCCTCTACTGCAACCGTGCCTTAATCGAGAAGCGATATTCTTTGGATATCCGAGGAGTTTCGACAACGCCTTCTTCAAAATGTTTGTACTAGATCCGTAGACCCGATTGAAACCTCGGTAGCTTAACGACAAAATTTTGTAGTGCTGGCACAGTGGGTCGATTGGGTCATGTTCTGAGAATTTTGACCGAAAACCGAACTGCCACCACGTAAGGTAAAACAAAAAGGTCACATCAGTGGTTATTATGCCGAGTTTATCGTGGCTCGAGGCCGTTACCATTGGCACGTACCCTCAATAAAGGGATCGTGCTTCGGATTTTCAGTGACATCATCAACAAAAATCCCTTGACTCACGCGTTGAAAGCACAAGTGCTCCCTGAGTGATTTTGGTAATTAATCTCAACATATCTCTTGTTGGACTAATACTTTTACCTAGTGTATTTTAGATAAGTCCAACAGTGGAGTGGCATGGACAAGAGGATGTGGAACTCCTTCAAGATGATAAGGACAAAGGATTGGCTCAAGCTCAAAGCTCAGGACTCTACATTTTATGTTTCAGTGATCTAAGATCATATTGAGTCCATAGGAAAGCCAATACTATTAAAAAGGGATGAGGTGTTGCTTAATGGCTTGCTTGCTCAAAGTGCTTAGTGATATGCTCCAAAACCCTCAACCACTTTCTCATATCCACATATGTCCCATACCAAAAGTCAAACTCGGCCCCACCAATTTGATCTATCCGGCGCCATCGAGTTCATTTGACATAGCCACTGCCAGAAACCCTAATTGATTCGATCGCACTGATGGGACCTCGGTCTCACCAAGATGGGCTTGCAAACTCTCTATTTCTTATTGCAATAATTTCGATCTCACCGAGAATATGCAACCGGTCCCACTGAGTTTGCTTGACCAACTCTGTGTTTTGCTTATACCAAAATCGGTCCCACCGAGTTTGTGTAATCGGTCAAACCGAGATGAGGTTTTACCCTAACCCTTGCACATCGGTCCCACCGAAATGCCTAACGGTCACATTATGAACTAAATCAGTCTAACCGAGTTTTCTGATTCGGTCCCATCAGGTTTGGTAAATTGTGTGTAACAGTTAGATTTTATGTGGAGGCTATATATACCCCTCCACCCTCTCTTCATTCGTGGAGAAAGCCATCAGAGCGTGCCTACACTTCCAGCATTCATTTTCTGAGAGAGAACCACCTACTCATGTGTTGAGGTCAAGATATTCCATTCCAACTGCATAAATCTTGATCTCTAGCCTTCCCCAAGTTGCTTTCCACTCAAATCATATTTCCACCAAATCCAATCCTATGAGAGAGAGAGTTGAGTGTTGCGGAGACTATCGTTTGAAGCACAAGAGCAAGGAGTTCATCATCAACACACCATCTATTACCGTTTGGAGAGTGGTGTCTCCTAGATTGGTTAGGTGTCACTTGGGAGCCTCCGTCAAGATTGTGGAGTTGAACCAAGGAGTTTTTACGGGCAAGGAGATTGCCTACTTCGTGAAGATCTACCCTAGTGAGGCAAGTCCTTCGTGGGTGATGGCCATGGTGGGATAGACAACGTTGCTTCTTCGTGGACCCTTCGTGGTTGGAGCCCTCCGTGGACTCGCGCAACCGTTACCCTTCGTGGGTTGAAGTCTCCATCAACGTGGATGTATGATAGCACCACCTATCGGAACCACGCAAAAAATCTCCATGTCTCCAATTGCGTTTGCACACTCCAATCCCATCCTTTTACATTCTCGCAATTTGCATGCTTTACTTTCCGCTGCTCATATACTCTTGTCATGCTTGCTTGATATGTATTGTGAATGTTTAAACTTGTGCTTCAACTCCACCTCAACTTGAAGAACTTAAAAATTGTTACTTTTCTTTGTTGAGAGTATATTCACCCCCTCTAGACACCTCTTCTCGATCCTTTCAATTGGTATCAGAGCTTTGGTCTCCATTGCCTTGGTTTAATCACCATTGAAGGAAGATGGATGAGTCTACGTTGGGGAGTCTTAGACATAGAGTGCCTATACTTGATGGAGAGTACTTTCATGAGTGGAAAAATGAGATGCTTGAGATTTTCAATGAATATCATTTGAGCAAGTACATTACCAACCCTTGTGCGCCCCTTGTTGATCCCTTGCATCCTACCCATGATGAGGATCTTGACATGATTCGCAATCTTAGAACTATCAATCTTATCATTAGAGGATTGCCTAAAAATTTGATTGGTCACTTGCCTACTCTTGATTGTGCTTATACTATATGGAGATTTCTTGAGGAAAGATTTCCAAACTATTCCTTGCAAAATCTAGATGAGATTCTTCATAAGTCAATTGCCTTGAATAAAATGAGTACTGGTGATCCTAAGTTTGATGATTGTCTATTTAAGTTTTGTGACCTTATGCGTGCCAAAGGAGGTGTTGGAATCATTAGCAATATCATCTCCGAAGCCATTAGATTTCATAAAGATGATTATTGTCATGATCATTTATCTAATGAGTCACTCTCTCTAGGAATTGATCCATCACGTGACGATGTTGAACATGGATACTATGATGGGGATGATGATAGTGACTATGATCTTGATGATGCAATGAGACACTTTGGTCTTATGGATAATCTTCGCGGCTACATGGCTGGAGGAAAGGAATGGGTCCTTGATAGTGGATGTACTGATCACATGACCGGAGATAAAGATATGTTTCGTGAGCTTGCTGAAAACGACGGCCCTCGAAAGTATATCACTTTTGGTGATAACTCAAAGGGTAAGGTGGTTGGCCTCGGTAAGGTGGCCATCTCACATGATAGCTCCATACAAAATGTCATGCTCGTTGAATCTCTTGGCTATAATCTACTTTTGTATCTAGACTTGCTGATTTTGGTTTCAATGTCCTATTTACTAAAGTAGATTGCCAAGTGTTTCGAAGAGATAATCATAAAATGGTCTTTACCAGTATGCGTAAAGGTGATCATATCCTTGGAATAAAAGATGTTATATTTGATAAGGATAGACTTTGCAGCGCTTGCCAAGCAGGAAAACAGGTTGGAGGAAGCCACCCCGTGAAGAATATCATGACCATGAGAGGACCGCTTGAGCTACTTCATATGGATCTCTTTGGTCCCAATGCCTACAAAAGTCTCGGTAGAAACTCATTTGGTCTAGTTATAGTCGATGATTTTTCAAGATTTACGTGGGTGTTCTTTCTTGATGATAAATCGTAGGTCCAAAAGATCTTCAAGAACTTCACTAGGATGGCCCAAAATCAATTTGAAGTGAAGATCAAGAAGGTTCGCAGCGACAACGGAACGGAGTTCAAGAACGCCAATGTGGACACCTTTCTTGACGAAGAAGGTATCTCACATGAGTTCTCGGCTACGTACACACCTCAACAAAATGGAGTTGTTGAGAGGAAGAACCGGACGCTCATCAAAATGGCGAGAATGATGCTTGATGAATACAAGACGCCAAAACACTTTTGGGCGGATGCGGTTGAGACAGCTTGTCATGCAACAAATCGCTTGTATCTTCACAAGCTACTCGGCAAGACGGCATACGAGCTCCTCACCGGTAACAAACCCCAAGTTGGATACTTTCGAGTATTCGGCTCGAAGTGCTACATTCTTGATAAGCATCGTCGTTCTAAATTTACTCCCAAATCTCATGAAGGTTTCCTACTTGGTTATGGCTCAAACTCTCACACTTACCGTGTCTACAACAATTTCACTCGAAAGGTTGAAGAGACGGTAGATGTGAAGTTTGATGAATCTAACGGCTCGCAACTAGAGCAATTGCCAATTGATGTAGGAGACAAAGACCCTTCAGAAGCAATCCAAGACTTGTCTATTGGCAAGATCCGTCCAATGGAGGTGAAGGAGAGTACCTCGTCCGTCCAAGTGGAAGCTTCTACCTCACGACAAGGTGAAATTGAGGAGGAAGTTTATGTTAAACAACCT